AAATGACCAGAGCGACCATGAGTACGGTGCAAGTGGTTAAGTGCTTGAACACCAAGCAATTGGGCATTGATTCCGCAGTTGTTCAGCAAATCTGTGTGCAAGGTGGTGCTGGTCGCACGTCCTCGAGGGAGACTCAGGGGTGGTACTTAATGTGTGAGACTGGTCTTTAATTTGTGGCTATCAATATGGTTAGCGGTTAATCCGGTCGAGCACGAAGAAAGATTGGCATGTCTAAAGGAGACCTCGTGTAGGGTGACTCTGCTGGTATCGCAATGAAGATGCTGATTCTTGATTCTAAACCCTTTGTAGGCGACTTCATGCGAGATCTGAGCCGCGCCATGTTTGTAATCAAGGCCGGGGACAAGGAGAGTCTGCGAAATCATCTCCTCCAGCGTGCCCGAAAGAAGCTGACAGCAAAGGAGATCGCCGCTAAGCCGGACAGGTATTGGAACACCCACTGCAGGCGGACAATCCCCAAGAAGGAACTGCTGGCTGCGCGACTGGATGCTGTTTTGAAGAAGTACGAGATTGGGGGAAACGCCTGCGACGGGGATCCCCTTGTAACGAGGGAGCTGAACGAGGTGCACGAAAGGCAGATGAAGCTTGTCTGGGCAGGGGCACTGAGTGGTGAGTAGCTCCGCAATCATTGCATCTACAGAAGTGCTTCTTTGCAGGTCAAATTATCTTCGAGATCTCGTGAATACAAAAGATGTCGTTCTTGCTTCTTGTACGGAAAGGTTCGAACCCGGGGTGTAACAAGAGGCCAGTGCAAAGCGAACGTCAATCGTTTACTTAGACGCTGACCACTCATTCCAAGACAGGCTAAGCTTATTACATCTTTCTAGATCAGATCACGAACATGAACGCCCTGCGCTTCGACGTCACTCCATATTGCAAAAGTTCTGTCCTTAGGAGCACAAACGTCAAACGTTGGCATCAGAATACGTGTGGACTTCAAGGAGCCAAGTCGTCTGTTCTTCTGATGCTTCATTGTGTCTTTTTCAAACAGATCCGCTGGGAGTGGAGGAGATGTACTACGACGTCAGCAAACCGGGCTGCATGCCGCAATTCAAGAGCGTCCGCGGCACCTCCAAGCTTGAGGGCTATCACAAGCACCTCAACAGCCTGTTCGCCGGGGGGAATTGCTCGCCGGAGTTGGCCGACGCGCTGCTCACCATCTTCAACTACCGGTGGAACATCACTTGCGGCGTTGCTAACCGGGGGGACCAGGACTACAGCATGCACGATCATTTCCTTCTCGAGGAAATGCAGAAGGTCTGCCGGGATATGGGGTGGCCGGACCCTTTCCCGGAGTGGAAGAAAGCTCCTCCAACGGCTGAGCGCTTTGGGGCGGATAACCTGCCACCTGAGGTGCGGGAGGCACTGGAGGCAGCGGCAGCGATTGGGGAGCCCGCGCCCACAGAAGACGACTTGGAGGCCGTGGCTGTGGAGGAACTATTGGAGCAGCAGGCGCTTGCCAAGCAGGGGCGAGATGCAGGTAGGGAACTTAGCAACATTTCAACGAAAGCTTGGTGCTTGGACGTCAGTTGCCAGTGCGCGCAGTCTGTACATACTGTTGCCGGTCTTGCAGCTGGGTTCCTGACCAGTACTTGCATGTCTTGAGGAGAACGTTTGGAGTTCACACCCTCGGAGGTCTTTCCATTGTGGCTTTTGAAGGGTTCAATATGTCAACCCTTCGCACGTGTGACGCAAAGTGCTCTGAGCATAAAGAATGCTGATCACTCAAGGAGACGCTTTGGTGGTCATGTAATGTCTCATGCCTCCGCACCTTATCCTTTTTGCGAGTAAAACATACACTCTTTCTTCTATATCGCAGAGGCTCCTGCCAAGCTGTCCTCCGACCAGTTGTGTGCACCGGTCCCCGCCATCGCGGACCAATTGCACACGTTCCTGCCCCCTAGGCCCGACCAGGCGGGCGCGTCGCTCCCCCCCCACCCCGAGCAGTCGCGCTCGCCACTTGCCCCCCTCTCCGACCTGTCGCGGGCGCAGCAGCGCCCCCTCTCCAAGCAGGCGAACGCGCCGCTGGCCCCCCCCTCCAACCAAACGTGCACGTCCCACCCCCCCCTCCTAATCAGTTGCGCGCGCAGCTCCCAACCCCCTCCGATCAGCCGCAGCCGTTCCTGGCCCCTCGCCCCGAGCAGTCGCCCGAAATCCTCCCCCCCCCCATCGACCAGTGTCACCCGCAGCTGGCCCCCCCCTCCGCCCAGACGCGCGTGTTGTTACCCCCACCCTCTGACCAGTTGCATGCGCCGCTAGCTCCCCCCTCCGACCAGTGGCGCGCATCGTTAACCCCCCCCTCCGGACAGTCAAGCGCGCAGCCGCGCCCCCTTTTGGGCCAGTCGGGCGCATCGCTCTCCCCCCCCTCGGAACAATTGCGCACCCAGCTGCCCCCTTGCTCCAAACATTCAAGCGCGCAGCCCGCCCCCCACTCCCAGCCGTCTCGCGCGCCGTTAGCCCCCCCCTCCGACCAGCCACGCGTTGCGCTGCCCCCCCGCTCTGCCAATCAGCCGCGTACACCACTGGCCCCCCGCTCCGACCAGCTGCGCGCACACTTGGCCCCTGCCCTAAATCAGTGGCGCGCGCCATTGCCTCCATTTCACCAGCGCGACGCACAGCCGGTGCCGCCTTCCAACCAGCAGCAAGTGCCGCAGGGCACCCTCTCAAGTCCCAACCCCATGATGCATCCCCGGGCTCCCTTCGACCATCAGCAAGCGCGGTTTCCCAATGTTTCCGTTGCCTCACGGTCGCGAGTGCCCATGCCTTGCGAGCCGCTGCGAACGCTGGCGCCAGTGCTGGCTCCCGCCTCTATGGGGCAAAATGTACAGCTCCGAGCAATTCCGGCCCGGGTGGTGCAACCGCAAGGGCCGCAAGTCGTTGGCCCGTCCAAACGGAAAGACTCCGTTGGCGGTGCTGGAGTTGCTGGTAAGCTCTTGATAGGGCTAGCAGCACTTGCAATTTGCAGCATGTGAAGGGCGGAATCTGTAGTACTGGTCAAGGGCCTGGAGGTATGCACAGAAGAGGAAGTCGTGAGTCGCAACCCAGTCGTTGCTCGAACATCATACTCAGCCGGGCTAGAACAAGCACGGCTTGTATTGATCATCCATGGTTTTGCCTTGCAAGATCGTATCTCAGACTATGCTCTCTTTCTTTTGCAGTTGAAGGTGCGGCACACGCCACACCAGCAAAGCGCCAGAAACCAAAGCCGCAAGGAGCTCCCGTTCCGATTGGTAAGTGAATTGCTTTCGGTGAAGGGTTCTGAGTTGTGCTTTGTGTATTCTGATCTAGTGTATGACCTTGTTGTTCGAGCTCGACAACTGCATCGCAAAAATTTGGATCGTCAGGGAATCAACTTGAGCGCCAATCATAAGAATCTTGAGCTGAGCACCCTGATTCTAGCTAGGATTTTGCAGTAAGCGAAACGACATTTTCTTTTCCTTGAAGCTGAGTTGTGTACTGCAGATCCGGATCCCTCTCTGCACACGTTGCCCAAGCAGCGAGCTACCACTGTCAATCGATCAGGCCGTCTATCATACCAGCGAAAGGTGGGATATCGTATCCCAAAGTTCAGGGACCTTCAGCGGCCCGTTTCAACGACTGCAGAATTCGAGCTTTTTGACGAGTTGTTCTTGAAGTATACGAAGAGAACGTCTACAGATTGGGATGCTTTTGGGCGGGAGTGGCATAACCGGGCCAGCTTATCTGCACATCGGGTGGAGGGGGCGGAACGAGCCATTCACTTCACGAGCGTTCCACTGCTCAAGCGACACCTTACTCTATCCTATAGGGCAGGGCTGCGGCGAGACTCTTTGAACAATCTCACAGCGTTGCGTCATCGTTTGCAGACAAGTCCGCTGCCCTCCATCCCGAGCGCAGCCACTCCGCACTTCCCCGATCCATTCACGTCCTTTCACACCACGCACTTACAAACCTCATTGCACGATGCGCACGCTCACTCATTCCACGCACCGGGCCAGCATGGAAGCTTCCAATATGTACCACCATCTTCTGAGTTGGCTGTAAATTGTGTAGCTCCGCTGTATAGTGGTCCCCTGGTATCTAGCAATCAAGTAGGGAAGCTAACGAAACAAAAAGCGGCGCCAACGAACAACCGAGGTGGGAAGGGGACCAAGAGGATTTGCAGAGAATGTCGAGAGAAAGAGTGCTTGGATGGTTGTTCGAAAAAAGCCAAGAGAGATGCGGAGGCTCAAAAGAAAGCAACAAGGACTAAGACATAAACGGAGTACAAGTTTTGGTAGTCTAGATTGGAGACTCTTCAAATCATTCTTTTGTATTCGTCCGAGCTGCTGAAAGTTTGCCAAGGTTTCTGACTCTCTGAAGCCTTCAGATGTCAAATGATTCATAGGGATATCCTATGAATCAGCGCAAAGTCTCTCGACGATAGCTGGATATACCTTCATATACCTACTGTAGTCACGATTTCTG